AAAATATAAACACATTTCCTCTCATGTGAAGCAGTAGGTGTGGTAGACTTCCCACTGGAGCCATCTCACTATGTCCAAAGCATTCATATTTATGGAATGTCCACAAGATGTATGGTTGTTCTGTCCCATACAGAGAATGAAGACAAACCTGGCACTTCAGAACCCCACAGAGAAAGAGTCACTGCCCGGCTCCATAGGCTCTGGAACTTTGGGGAGTGAGGAGCCAAGTTTGTGGATAAGACACAGGGGCTGAGTTAGAGGAGGGACCCCCACCCAATCAATGGGACTGTAGAAAGTTGAAGGCACAAGCCCAGCTTGAAATTCCAAGGTGACTGTAGCTTTCCCTCCCAGGGAAGCAAAAGAGCCCAGTCCTGTGGCCAAGTTCTCTTTCTCATTCAAACATGTGCAGACAACATGTCTACTAGTTCCTGTAAGCCTAGAAATTGCAGACCCTGGCTCCTGATTTTGGTTCCTGGACTGTGCCTGACTCGTGGATGACTCTTGGGGATTCCCTTTTTGGCCAGTGGTAGATATTAACCCCTTTTTGACCTCTGGACTGATATCAGTCTATGGTTTTGGATCTCCATCGCCTTGTTGTCAATACCTAGGGTTGCCAGATACACGGGTACTAAAAGGAGGACATAGAAAGACAAAAAAGAGGACAAAGGAGGACATATTGAATGTTTCATTTGAATCATTCCAGATTAAACCCACAATCAACACAATTTTATTACAATAGCTGCCAATAAATGTCTCTTAGTGAACAGACCAAGAAACAGTCATATTAAAAATTAAAATTCAATGGAGGCTTTTTTTCAAAATACCGTGGGTAGGCGGGGAGGTGGGGCAGGGAAAGCCAGGGGAAGGGGGTCCTTCCATCTCTCCCCCTCCCATCCAAAATTATAACATAAAATATACAAAAGCCTGACATTTTAAAGGCTTTTATCTTTGCCTGCCTGACGGAGGACATTAGGCTAAAAAAGAGGACATGTCCTCCTTTTGCCTGACATCTGGCAACCCTATCAATACCTGCTCCTGCTGTCTTGTTTTTTCCCCCAATTTAGGGCTTCTCTGGCCATGAGCTACATTTGTCTTTCTCCGCCCAGTACTTTGGATTCAGACTGTTCCTGAATCCTTATATGAACAAGACTTGTTTGTTCAGGAGGGTTTCAGACTGAAGCCTCCAGGAGAGTTAACGAAAGGAGAGGAAGATGTTATGTCATGACTGAATCACGCACTGCACAGATTTCTGATATCAATATCAGAAGGGAAGGTTGAAAATGCAATGAATAGTGTGTCTGTATAGTTAACAAACTGAAATTTTAAAATAATTAAAGAGCTCCTTGAGAAATCATGCTGATGTATCGTTAAAGGAAATTGGCTGTCTCACAGAGAAAGTCACTTGTTTAAGCACAGTGGTGGAAATCCTGTTGTTCAGTTACACAAAAAGCATAACTTATAGAAGTAAATTCCTGTATGTTAAGAAATCCCTGTTGACATTATCTGGCAATAATCAACCTCTCTACTGTTAACAACATGGAATCATGAGTTTACACATTATATACCTATCATTTTAACTGTTTCAATAAAGTTCTTGGCTTTTTTAAACTTTGGTGGCTCTGGCCAACATTCTTGAATGTTTATTACTAAACTCAAAACAATCTCTTTTCAAATATATTGCATTTCTCTGAATTTTTTTCATATATTCTCAAGTTCTTTCCTTTTTGCCAGTGTTTCTTATATACTTTTTATCCTCATTTTCTTTCTAACAACTGTATTTCATCCTCAACTTTTTTAATGTGTTTTTCTTCTTCTCTTTTAAGAATATGTGATGCAGAAATAGAATGTAAATTAATATTTGAAATTGAAAGCCTATGATTAATTTATGGAATGCATATCATAACTAAGTAATATTGGGAACTTATGTATCTTTGAAATGTAACAGATAAAAATGAGTATTTAAAAATGTTCATGTTGATTTGCACCCCCTGTTTATGCCATGCCCCCTTGTCCCCTATCCCCACACCTAACCCATAAAATAAAATAAATAAATAAAAATGAATATATGATGCAATTCTCCTTACAATCACTTTCTTACTGTCCCATATATTACCCTGGCTACAACCTTCTCTCTCATTAATTTCCATATTTCCATCATTTCTTTTTCTATTTTATCTGTTATTTCTATTTCACCTATTATTTTCCTTTGCTTAAAAATCCTAGTATCTAACCTCTATCTTCTAACTTCTCTACAATAATATTTGATTTTAATATCCATATTTAGTAAAGCATGACCATATTAATCCAACCTCAGTTTTAACTATTCTTGAGATCAAATTATTAGATGCAAATATTTAATCTATTCTAGAATAAACCTTATGAACAGAGGAAAAGAATGTGTATGTCTATCAATCTCCTTTCATCATTCTCCAAATATCTTTCAAAGCAGTCTTCCTTATCATTCTGCTCAGAACCTAATACTATAATTATTTTTTCAGAGAGAATGTTTGCTGAAGATACATGGAAAAATATCCCATTTTCTGGAGGACTGTCACTCCACTTCTTTCTTTCAAGCAAAGCTGGTTTTCTTTAACTATTTAAAGGCCCTGGATACCTGAAGGACCGCCTCCTTCCATATGAACCTACCCGGCAGTTAAGATCTAGCCAGGGGGCCCTTTTGAAAAAGCCGTCCCTCAAGGAGGAAGAGGGATGGCTTGTAGACAAAGGGCCTTTTCGGCAGCTGCCCCCAGATTATGGAATGCCCTCCCGACTGAAATTCGTCTGGCTCTGACTTTGATGACATTTCGGCGCCAGGTCAAAACCTTCCTGTTCCAGAAGGCTTTTAATTGAAATAATATTACTGTAGCTGTGGGTCTGATGGCAATTTTAACTGTATTTTAATTGTATTTTAATTATTTTATCTTTTACTGTATTGAATTTTAATTATTGTAAGCCACCCAGAGACCTCTGGGTAGTGTGGGCAGCATATAAATTAAATAAATAAATAAATAAATAAATAAATAAATAAATAAATAAATAAATAAAACCTGCCTTTTCAGTCTATTTCTATAACCTTTCTCTCTAAATATCTCCCTTCCTATATTCATCAATTTATATATATATAACAGATTGATTGTTGCTGGTTTTCTGGTTTTTTAAAAGGCCTTTTATAAGAATCAATAGTTCAGCCTCTACAGCCTGGATTCTTTTGAACTAAAAAAATGGATGGGGGTCAATCATTCTCTTTCAAGAAAATCTAGATTAGTCTTTTCATTTTACACAATCTGTTTTAATGCTGAGGACATTTCCCTGTTTCTGAAAGAGGGAAACAGTTTTATTGTTGAAAAAGCATAACTTGAAAACCCTTTGCCTAAACTTTCCCAGTGAAAGAGCCAACCGTCTGCTACAATTGGGGCAGACCTGGTGCTGATATGAACACGAGTTTCAAAATCAAAATTTGGAGGGGGCTGCCCCAATTTTTAGAATTGCCTTGTAGAATGTTAATTGGCTCTGCCAGCACAAGATCATTTTTGCACTCTTGTGCCACAGTAATTATACACTCAATAAATACTTATTAAATCAATTAGGGAGAAATATGAACAACTGTTGGTTGTGATGTAGTTCAAATTTCTGCCAAGTCATGGAAACTCAGTGAAGTTAAACCACTCCTTAAAAATCTCACTTAACTTTGAAAGCCCTCTTAGGGTCCTTACAAGTCAGTTCTGAGTAGAAGGGACATTACAACAACAGCAACAACAACATCATTTAATAGTTGCAGAAAATATGTGACAGCTCAGAAATACAAACATTCATAATATACATGCATAATAGAAATCAGCTTGGTGCAAAATAGGACTGGACAGACGTACATATATTTCCATCACCATGTCTCCTCATGTTATTAATTTAAAGGAAGAGCAAAGACTGGCTTTATTCACAAAATTACCCTTTCTAAATATTTTTGCCAAAGCCATTTTGATGTCTTTGTTTTTCAAGCTGTATATGAGAGGATTTAACATGGGAGTTAAGATGCTATACTGGATAGAAACCAATTTGTCCAGATCTCTAAGTGATTCTGAATTAGGCTTCATATACCGGAAAAAGGCTGAAATATAAAACAAGCCAACCACAATGAGGTGAGAGCTGCAGGTAGAGAAAGCTTTATGTCTGCCTTCTGTAGAACGAATCTTCAGGATATTAGAGATAATATAAATGTAAGAGATGAGGGTGAGAAGGAATGAAACAAAGCCAAAAATAAATGCAGTTGAAAGAAGTACAATGTAGTTGGTGAAGGTCTGACTACAAGATAAAACCAAGAGTAAAGGCAATTCACAGCTGTAGTGGTCGATTGTATTGTCTCTGCAAAACTGCAGGTTTGATGCAGGCAAAGCATTCATTAAAGCATAGAATAAACCAGCTGTCCAGGATGCACCAACTAGTTGTCTGCAATTTTCTTTTTTCATGGTTACAATATAATGTAGTGGGTCACAGATAGCAACATAGCGGTCATATGCCATTGCTGAGAGAATGAATACCTCAGTACATGCGATCAAGAAAAAGAAGAAGATCTGTGCTATACACCCTTCCCAGGAAATAGTTTTCTGCTGTGTTATAAGGTTTTCCAGCAACTTGGGGACAGTAACAGAAGAATAGCAGATGTCAACAAAAGCTAGGTGAGCAAGAAAAAAGAACATGGGGCTATGAAGACTGGAGCCAATCTTGGTTGCAAGTATGATGGCTGCATTTCCTAAGATAGTGACTAGAAAAATTACTAGAAACATCAAAAAGAAAAAAACTTGTAGGTGTTGGTTGCTGGAAAGTCCCAAGAGCAAAAACTCTGTTATGGTAGTTTGGTTTTCCATCTTGGGTCGTTTGACAAAGCTAGAACCTGTAAAAATGGGGAGAAGAATAGAGTCAGTTTTTGTGTAATATATTTGAACAGTGTTTAGCACAGATGCTGGTTAGACAGCTCGGTGGGCTGGGTACAGTGGTGCCTCGCTAGACAATTGCCTCACAGGATGAGGAAATCGCTAGATGATGGGTTTTTGCGAGCGCTATAGCACTTTGCAAAACAGCTTTCCCTATGGGCGATTTTCACTGGACGATGTTTCGGCCCGTGCTTCACAGGACTTTTTTTAAACTTTTTCGCAATACGATTATTTTGACAGCTGATCAGCGCTTCGCTAAATGGGTGTTTTCGGGACCATTTTTCGCTAGACACCGATTTGACAGCTGATCGGTGGTTTGCAAAACGGTTTCCCTATGGGTGATCTTTGCTGGACGCCAACGATTCTTCCCCATTGGAACACATTAAACGGATTTCAAAGCATTCTAATGGGGAACCGTGCTTTGCCAAACAATGTTTTCACAAGGCAGTGATTTTGACGGAACGGATTAACATCGTTTAGCGAGGCACCACTGTATCTGGTTGGAGAACCAGAGGTCAGGTGTCTGATTCCTCACTGTGTCTCTCAACAAAAAAGATAGACTGTTGTAGCCATGGGCAAGCTACTTAGTCCTGAAGCAACTCTAAGGGAAAGGAACTATAAATACTTCTGTACCTAGAAAACTCTGGTAAGGATCACTGTAAGTCAGAATTAACTCAATGACAAGCAATTATTTAATTTTTAAGACAGAGGCATTAAGGACATTCACTTGTTTGATTATGTGCTGCCTTTCTTTGAAACCTAGGACTCAAGTCAGGTCAAGACAGACAGAGAGAAAGAAATAAAAGTTACAATGTTAAAACATCATTTGAACATTCTAATCCCAAAACATAACAGGGTCATCAACATTTAAAAGCAGATTGATTAGAAAGCACAACTACCCGTGCAATATTCATTTTTCAGAAGCAAGTCAGTTCCCCAAAGTTCTCGTGATTAGAAAAGTCATTGCCAGCCAGCCAACAAGAACAAGCACATGGTCTTTCTCATCCCCTTGAAATATACCTTAGACTGGATAGTGAAGAAAAAATTTTCTCCAAAGAGTTCCGAACCCAGAGAGGCTTGAATAGAAGAATACTGGTTCTTCAGAATCTTATTTCAAAGCGTAAAAAATGTATATCCAGCAAACTTTATAATTATATTCTTTTTACATTGAAATGCTATTTCAGTGGCTGATAGAAATTCGCATTATGTGCATTATGTTGTAACTCTATCTCTCTTTCTCTTTCAGAGGGACTCAGTGCCACTTTTTTGAGAGATGCTTACAACCAGGAATACTCCTATAAATGTCTGTAACACTGTATGTACATTTCTACCAATGCACTCAGAAATGTATTTGATAAATGCACATGTAAATGCCCATTGGGTTTTCAGCTACATGAGAACACCTAAACTCATGGTACCAAAACCTGGGGCTGAGTAAATATATGCAGGACATTGAGGAAGCTTAAAAACAAGACTTATGACAAATGTTCTACATTGGGAACAAGATTGGTTAATTCAAAACTTCAGAATAGAGAGAAAGACACTGGGAAGCATTGTAGAAACATTACAGCTCTTAACCAACAGGTTTCTCTATATGAGATTTGGAACATTTTCTACAGATGTGCTAATCAGTACTACTGAACTGTTACTCCCAGAATGCTCCCAGACAGCATAGGGGAAAAACACAAACCTGTGCACCTCAACCATTTTCTGAAGTGAATCTGCAGTGATGGGGAAAGAATAACATCAGAGTAACATCAGTAGACCCCTTCTAGATGGGTGGTATATAAATCTAACAAACAAACAAACAAACAAACAAACAAACAAACAAACAAACAAACAAATAAATAAATAAATAAATAAATAAATAGACATGTTCTATTTCTTCCTGCCATATAGCTGTTAATCAATGTTTTGGACAAAGACACAAATCTTCGTTGACTTCCACGTGGTTTTACCTGTTTCACACTCACACATGCTACCATTAAGACACTTCCTTGTGGGAAGTACTCAGAAACAGCTTGATTTTTTTAATGTGCTTAACTATTCCTTTCTATGTGGAAAAAAATCTTCCTATCTAGCATAGGAAACATGCTGGATCATACACACTCATACACATATAAACTGACTCCTGTTTAGTTCATGCCCTGCTCTAGGGCATGAACTAAAGATTCCATCTTTTGCTGTTCTTAGACATTACATTAAATCAGCATGGTAATGAGAGAGGAAAATATATATTTTAGTACAGCATCTATCCTTGCAACCATCATGTTCATTTTGACTGAGTCTCATTTTCCCCTCAGCAAAAAATACTTACATTTGTGCACACACATCACAAGGGAAAAATGATTACCTTTGATTGATAAAAGCACACAGATTCCATATTCCGGACTGTTCAATATCACTAAGCAAGGGATTTTAAAGAAAATGAATAGTATGATGATGTCATATTTTCTTCAGAAATTTCCCTATTGAGTTCTGAGTATCTTTCTTGGTCCCTTCAGGGGTTCAGGTATGTAACCAAAGCCAAGTGGGAGTTCATCCTTTTCCAGATAGCATTTGTCATATTTAAAAACTTGGTCTGCCTCCACAATTTTCCATGTCAACATTTCTCAGAGTATATAATGACAATGTTTGATTACATCACTAAATGTTTAACTATTGCAAACGTAATAGGGAAAGTAATTTTTAAGAAGAATTAATATAATGGCATATGGAAGCTATTTGTAAATGAGCAGTGACAGGAAGAAGCTCTAAGCCCCAGAATACACACACACACACACACACACACACAGAGAGAGAGAGAGAGAGAGAGAGAGAGAGAGAGCACTATTCTTACAACGTGGGACATGGTGGCGCTGCAGGCTAAACCGCAGAAGCCTTTGTGTGCTGCAGGGTCAGAAGACCAGCAGTCATAAGATCGAATCCACGCGATGGAGTGAGCTCCCGTCGCTTTGTCCCAGCTCCTCGCCAACCTAACAGTTCAAAAGCATGTAAATGCGAGTAGATAAATAGGGACCACCTCGGTGGGAAGGTAAACAGTGTTCCATGTATAGCCACGTTGGCAACGTGACAACGGAAACTGTCTTCAGACAAACGCTGGTTCTACGGCTTGGAAATGGGGATGAGCACTGCCCCCTAGAGTCAGACACGACTGACTAAAATGTCCAGGGGAACCTTTACCTTTACCTTTATTCTTACAACATGTGAGGGTGGAGTATAGATATATGTATATATATATATATATATCTCACATGTAAGAATAGTGCTGTGGTCTTCACCTTGCTCAGAACACTATACACTACTGTCCCAGTTCCTTTCTCTCAGGTCCTAGTTTTCTGGAATGCCAATATTCTTCAAATGTAACATGTACAAAATGCCTTCCTTAAGACTTCAGTCAGTTTATCTATCTATCTATCTATCTATCTATCTATCTATCTATCTATCTATCTATCTATCTATCTATCTATCTATCTATCTATCTATCTATCTATCTATCTATCTATCTATCTATCTATCTATTTATTTATTTATTTATTCGATTTTTACTCTGCCCCTCTAGACAACGTCTACTCGGGGCGGCTTATATAAGTTAAAACACATTAAAACAGTATAAAGTATGAGTAACATATATGATACAAGAAAGTCAAGAAACAAGAGGGGAAAAAAAAAGAAAAAGAAAAAATTACTTAGTTGACTGGGGGGAAGGCCTGTTTGAATAACCAGGTTTTTAGTTGAGTTTTGAAAACACCCAGCGAGGGTGCCAGCCGAATTTCAGTGGGGAGTGTGTTCCACAGCCGAGGGGCGACCGCCGAGAAGGCCCGGTTTCTTGTTTTCCCCTTCCGGGCCTCCCTCGGCGTCAGTCCCCTCAGCCACCCCTGCTGGCTTTGTCGGATGATTCGGGTAGACCTAGTCAGTTCACTGACACCTGGTCATACCTAATTCTGGGACTGCATAGGTTAGCAAGGACATTCTGCTGAGATGCCCCTCCAGAAGTACTCAGCCCACAATGAAGCTAATCCTAATAAACTATCTTTTTTTTTTTTTGGCCAGGCAGGTTTCTTATTCAACTTCTTATGAAATATATTTTACTTTTACTTCCTTGATGACAATTGCATTCGTAATACCTTACTAGGAAAGTTTTTCAATTATTCCTAATGCACCTGAAAACCCAAAAGGAACCAGTCTTATACGGACAAATTCCAGGTCCAGTTTGAACTGGATCAGGATGTGTTAGGAGAGATGGATGTAGTGATATGATTTTGTGATTAACTGCTGCATCTTCTAATCACATGGAATGTTCCAGGGAAGGATACAAAAATAAAACAGTGTGTTTGGAGGGGAGAAATTCGTTACCACCCCTACCACGGAATAAAGACACGAGAAAATTATTATGAAATAAACATGGGCCACACTTTATTAATTATTTATTAATGCCCTCAATAAATTGGGGGGGGAGGTCCTGCTATAGTGTAGAATCAGATTCTGCAGAGGGGTCTCAATGGACCCCTACCAAATTATGGGTCCTGAAGACAGCACGAAATACCCCTCCACACAGTGTTAATCCGCTGGACATGCCAACATAGCTCAGGCTTCTCTCCATGTGGATTCTGGTGACCATTCACCAATCCAAGGCCATTGAGGGCTGCCCGATACACTTCACCGTCAACACTTCCATGCAGTGTTAACACACTGGGCATTCCAAAAGAGCTCAGGCCGAACCACACGGATCTCCTGGTGACCAATCACCGATCTCTAGCCATTGCATCCAGCTCTGCATAGTTCTCTGGTAAACTCCTCCGCACATTGATATCGCACTGAACTTGGCATTCTGTTCTCCATGCAAGCCTCAGGATAGTTGTGGACCATATAATGAACATCGCAGGGTCAGTCGCCCTCAACCATCCGAGGTCACGTAGTACATCCAGATCGAGGCCTTTCGAATGCACAGGCCCGACCCTTACCTCCCAATTGTATTAACAACACAAATGGGAGTTGCAAGGCAAATACTGTTAATCACCATAATGTGTAGCTGCCTCGCCATCACTACCAGATCTGTAATGACAACAGAACCAGGTGCCTGCCCAGGCATGAGGGAGTGTTCTGCCATATCCACTGTAAGCTATTGAAGGCACTGTTGAAGCCTTTGAATATCGTCAGGATGGTAGACTAGGGCAGCTGCAGTTGAAACAGCACCCATTCTAGCAGAATGTACACCAAACCTTAAATCTTGGAATTCCCACCTTATAATAATAATAATTTATTGTCATTGTAAGTATATACACAGTATAACCATACAACGAAATTCACAGACACCCAGAGACCAGACACATGCACACACATAAAATTCCCCAAACACTCCCCACCCACTAAAATTCCCCCAAAAATAAAACATCTACACCACAGGCCAAGTAACACAGTCCAACTAATTATTCACTACTGATGGTCTTTAAGCTCATTGTTAATTGCAATTATAGCTCTGGGATCAAAACTATTTAGAAAACGTGTGGTCTGAGTCTTAATTGTTCTATATCTTCTGCCAGACGGTAACAGTTTTAAAAAGTTATAAGCAGGATGGGAAGAGTCTCTCAGGATGCTGTGTGACTTCCTTAGACAGCGGGATGTGAAGATGTCATCCAGGGTTGGTAGCTGGAGCCCGATGATATTCTGGGCAATTTTAATGGTTCTCTGTAGTGCAGTGCCATGTCTACAGTTTTACATAATTGGTACTCTGTTAAAGGTTAAAATGTTAGTGCACAAGGAAGTAATCCCATTGATGCCCCCTGACTTCTGAACATTCACCTCCAGCCCTTCCCCGGCACAGCTCCATTATAGAATGTGGAGCTGGACGAAGATCGGCACCTCAACTTCGCTGGTCACTTTGGATCGGTGAATGTACAACCTGACTGTAGTGTCCTGTTGCATGGCATGCTGCCATTGTAATGCTACCTTGGTCAAGTCACTCTTTCCTATACTGTAGTTACCAGTTCCAAAATCCATAATGCATCAACTTATGTTAACAGTGATGCCACCCTAAATAATGCTGCCTTGCACCCATCCCTACAAATGGCAAGCCGTCGACAGTCAATTTTACAATGCTAGGGATATGGGTACCCTTATATCCTAGACCCAACCCCTTTCTAAACTTTGGCCTGCAAATGTATTTTTAATGCCCAACTCAGAGGTATGATCCTGATACCCCCAAATTGGGGCCTGAAAAGCCATTGCTGACAACCTGCCCCTTATGGATCCCATCAACAGTTCCTTTCTATGTGACTAAACTATAAACTGTTGCAGTTGTTCCACTGGAGTGGCCACAACAGCCCCCAGCTGCTTAGGTTTCTAAACTCCTAAAATCTTATGCTCACTGTCGAGTACCTGTTTAGCATCCTCGGGTCAGTGCACAAACTTATCACGCTGTCCGTATCAATATGTGGATTTGCTAAACGTTTGAGGGAAGCGTCTCTGAGAATTACTGGGCTCCTGCAACTAACTCCCTAACTCGATCGATCTATTGGCATGATAGTGCATCAGCTAAGCTGATATCAGCAAGGAACTGACTCCAAACTTGCAAATCCTGACATGGATTCAATGAAAAGGGGTGATGCAAACCTCTCATTGTGTCACATAATCTACGCAGAAATGCCCAGCCTGGAGCAATTACCCTACACACAAAATTTAGGTGACCTACAATCTCATGCAGTCCTTTCAAAGATACTTTCCTGCTTTCACTGAGAAGACAAATCCAAGACCTGAGGGTCTCCAGCTTGTCCTCTGGCAACTGAGAGGCTTGTTGTCTAGTGTCTGATTCTATCCCCAGGAAAGTAAATGTTGTAACTGGCCCATCTGCTTTCCCTGCAAACAGGAAGAATATAGATATAATTTATTTTATCTGTACTTATGAAGGGGGAGGTTTAACTTTTAAAGTGGAAGTTGCAGATAAGTTTAGAAAATTCTAAAATTCCCCACCCCTCCTTCTATTTCTACCCATCACTGTAAAGCATTTGAGATGTTGTATATGGAAGAGTTTGAGCACTAATATTTAGATATACTAGTAATGTGTTCACTGTAGTAGCAGCACTTCCATAGTCCAGATGATGGAAGGAGATGTCATAGTCCTTGCTATGATGTCACAGTTCTAGGGATTTGATTTTGCAAGTCCTGCCTCTGCTACACTACTGGCCATCCTTCAATTAATATTTTAAATTAGTTTCAAAGAGCACCACAAATTATGTAAGAACCTATACATTAAAAAAAAAAAATCATAGATAACATTTGAAAAATGTGCTACACACAGGTTGCTGAGGAAATTAAGACATTAGCCAAATCCTGTTGCTTAATGCATCAGATCGTGCTTGAGTAGATTCATGGAATCAATCATGATTTAGTGAGTCAATTCCTCTGCAAGTTCCATTGATTATATTGGACATACTTTGTGATTTGCTTCAGCATAGTCAGTTGTAGTTACAGCAGGCCCATTTGAATCAATGGAGGAATTGACTCACTAAATCACCATTGATTTAATGTGCCTATTTTATGTGATTTACTACACTAAGCAACAGGACTTTGGCCATTGTTTCAAATACCGCTCTGTGTAGCTGCAGATCAGAAATTCTAAAACTCTTTGCAACTCACAGATATCCACAATGCTAACAGGAGGTTCACGAAGTGAAAACTATAAGATGCAACATGGCACATCTGACTTTTAATGTGATGTGCCATGTACTCGATAACCTTTGGATTTTGTGCCTGTAGTTATAATCAGTGGGAAGATTAATCCTATTAGACCTTGAGAGATTATGCATGACTTGGTATGTGAACTTATTTCACAAGACTATTTGTTTGTTTGTTTGTTTACTTCAAAAACCAATCTAGAATTTTGTTCAATTTTAAATACAATAAAACTAGTCACTAAAAGAATAAGATTAATTGAATGATAAAAACAATAGTATTATTTGAAAATAATGAATTGATAGTGTAACAATTAGGACATTATGAAAAGTCCAGGTAAATAGAAGCATCTTTAGTTGGTATCAGACATTCCATTCACCAGGATTGCACCATTACCTCTTGAACCTTATAAACTAAAACTGGACTTTGACTCAGTACAGTAAGCAGGTATATTTCCCTTCAGAATTTAAAAATTAGACTAATCTGTATGGGAGAGGTGATTCAGAACAAAGTGAGAAAAAAAGGAAAAGGATTATGGTGTCCACTGTGTATAACCTTTGTAGAACACTGAGAATCAGGAAAGCTAAACAGCGCAAATTAAGTAATCCATGGCAAGAATCCTCTTACTGTTCATGTAACATCTGTGAAACTTGCTATGGCTAATTGCATCTAACTGATGAGATGTGGGGTGCATCTCACATTCACAGCTGGATATATGAACACATGTATAGCCAAAATGTAGCCCAGGGCAT